CTGTCATCAGGAGTTAGAAGATAAAGCTTGTCCTCAAAGGTTAAGTTTGTCCTTGAACATAACACTTGTCCTTGAAGGTAGATCTAATTCCCATTGAAAAAAATCAAAAGGATTATGGAATTAATAGTATTCCTATAGTTGACATTTTACCTTCTGAGAGCCCCTCTAATTAAAATGCCCTTAGTGCCTGTGGCAGGGCACTGTGCATACCTGCCACTTTAAGGGCCTGGAGCTGGCAGCCACCAGGTGTCTGATGAGGTTAGCCATTTTCCATTTTGGAGTCAGGGGCTGTCTATATAAACAGGGCAGTTTGGCTGCTGGAGGCCAGGCAACAACATCGCCTGGCTGGAGGGCTGCTGAGGTCATCTGGAGGTAAGGAGGAGCTGTAGGGGATGGTCAGGAGGCTCCTGGTCCTGGGCATGACCTAAAACTGCACCCTGCCGGGAGTGGGTGGCCTGGTGGGGCTCTCAGTGGCACGGGAGCCCCCAGGAAATGCCAGGCCAGTTACCACCCTGGTGAAAGGCGGGTCGGGGTGTCTTAACCCCTAGCCTTCACCATCGGGTGGGTAACCTCTGTGTTTGTGTGAAGGGTCCAGAGGGCAGACCCCTGGAGAGAGTGAGGGGCTAGAGATTCGACCTGAACAAGAGAGTACCCTCAACTGGCCCATGTTGGGGCCAGGACCAGGACGGTCAAAAGGGCCGGGGGCCCACCGCGAGGGATGCCCAAGAGCCGGGGGCCTGGGGTCCCGACTGGCCTGGAGGTGGGCCAGGGCTGGTAGCCAGAGGTCCTGGGGGGAACCACACCCAAGAGGTGAAAACAGTTTTGGGGGGCTAGGTAGCCTGAATGAAGGTGGAGAGGCCGCCTGAGTGGAAGGATCATGGAGGGGTCCTGTTAGGAGGATTCTGGGGCCCAGTGTGGGGGCCAGTGATTATGTGAATATCAAGATGCCATCTGTGAGGCTTGGGCTGTGGTATAGGGGAGGAAAGGAGCTGCAGAGAGCTCCCCCTGGCATCGGGGCAGCAAAATGGGTAGCCTCCTGCTTAATTGATGTGAATTAATTAATTAACATCAAGGCATGGTGGGAGAGAAGGCAGGTGGTTGACCCAAGAACAGGTGGGCGGGCCACAGAGATCGGCCCCGAGCAGGCCCCCTGTTACAGTGTCTCCTCTATCAGCATCCCCACACTTCAAAATGGCAGTGGGGGTACTTCAACTAAAGCTCATTGAATGTGTTTTAGTTAAAGCACCCTGTCACGGCGGAGTCCTCGCGGAGGGCCGTGTGCTCCTTAAGGTCCCTCGCTCCGTGTCAGGCCGGCCCAAGGCACCCTCTAATTCTCGCCCGCCACGTCTTGCTGGAATATATATATAGTTGGGAGGCTGCCTATGACTCCCTGGGCACGGCTACTCAGGACCTCTGTCCCCGCAGTTCTCCTGGACTCCTATGGTCACCCGGTATAGTGGGTGCTCCCCAAGCACCCTAGCCTTATGGGCTATGCGTGGCTCCTACCAGCCCCTGATACCACGCCCCAAGC